TCCATACCCATACCATTTTCCAGAAAAATGTTATTTTCCTACAAGAGACATAAGGCAGTATGTAATATTTGACCCCTCTTAGCGTTCTAATTATTGTTTTCTAGTCCCGATAACCCATGTATCATAACTCTATTTCAATATTCACAAATTTACTAACTTGAGAAAGTTTTATCAAAGATCATCTTAAAACTCACCTCCCCCCCAAAAAATCTCATAGGAGTAAGGATTAAAGACTCCAGGAAAAGACAAACTAATTATTGCTCATTTTTACTAAAACATGAAATATCTAGCAAGCACAGGTATATCTACTTATTTTCCAAAGTTATCTCAATTATCATTCCATGTGAGCCTTACAGCTCTCTCAATTTCATAAATGGGAAAGCAAGTATCTGAGATCTTATGATTTGGTCAAGGTCACATGGCTTATTAGAATTAGAGCCATAATTAAAAACCATAATTAACATCTAGCTCTGTGTTGTCCCCACTCCTTCAAACTACTTCCACTCATGACAGGTAGTTACTGTTGGGGGGCATATCTAAGTGAAACACTGTAATAGGAAAACTGGGCTGAGGAAGAATTGCGGGGAAAGTGAGATTTGGGGAAAACAGCAGAGGATAAGGGATGGGAGAATCTGGCACATTTTCCTGAAGGTCCGTGTAGAGGAAGTGGTGGGGTACAAACATGGTCAGAGAAGTGCCTGGTTCATTAAAAATAGACAACCTGCTTAGGCAAATGTAGAATTTTTTCTCTTGCATGACTTGAATGACTCTTTGACATATTTTCAAGGGTGCATTAAGATCAGTCCCATAGTAGTATCCTTGGGTTTTTAGGATCCTTCTCATTCTAAAACAGTATCAGAAACTACAGGACGAAGCCCTCCTATCCTGGGGCTTAGTATTCATTTGATCTTGCATTGGCATCTTATAGGCAGGCATCTTGTGTGTGTAAAATTCAGTTCAAGAACAGTGGCATCTATGGGCCTCCCCAGTGGCGTAGCGGTTGAGCGCTGGTCTGCGAAGCTCTGCCCACCGGTTTGATCCCTGGCCGCCAGGCGAGGGTCTCACATGGGCATGCAGACCTCTTCCGCCACCTGCTGCTCCCCTCAGCAGTGTACTTCATCACTCTGCCTGTTCTGCTCTCCTCTCTGGCTCTGGTGAATTCTCTCACCCTCCCGTGCTTCTGACTGTACGCAGTGCTTGTATAAATAAATAAATAAATCTTTAAAAAAAAAATGGCATATCATGGCTTAAGATGCTAGCAGTATTTCACATCACTTGGAGAGCTTGTTCAATAAGACGGTACATAAATTTGAGTATATGCCGCCCCATCAGTTATTTCTGTACATTTATGTGACTTTTATGTAACATAAAATAATTTTCCCAAAATGTGCATCCCCTTTAAAGTAGTTATCATGGAAATTCATAAACAAATCCAAATAATAGTTGTATTTTTTAAACTCCTGTCTACTTTTAAATTTTTTTCCCATAGTGCCTTTTTAGAAATGTGAACCATGCGTGTTGCTAAGTCTTATGTATACCCTGGGATTATGATTGTGGAAATGGAAAACAGAAATGCCCCCCCACCCCAGAGAACTAGAGAGACTACTGGATCCTGGTCCTTTCCTTTGGTGTAAGTTGGGGGCACAAATTCCATTCCAAACTTCGCCATTAGTTTAGTGTAGGCAAGTACTTAACCACTCAGTTTCTTTATTTAATGAACTGTATTACATAACCTTTCAATTTTCTGCTAGCTATGTCACTCTGTTTTTAGATACAGATGATGCCAGATCCAGCATCAGGTTCCCTTAGGGAAGAAGGTGTGATCTACATTTTTTCCAGGTTGTCTAGGCTCACAGACTTTTAGGAACACTGCCTATGCCTGGGAATACTGCCTGTAATGGCTAGGTAATTTTATAATGTGCAATACAGAATGAACTAATACTTTCTTAAAATAGAAAAAAAAAAACCTTAAATGGTATGTTCCTGGAGTTATATTTTGAGCAAAAAGGGATATTTTCAAACCTCAGTTCCAGTGAAAAGGATGAAATTTGCAGTGTAGTTATATGCACTGAGAAATCAGAAAAGTGCACTGTCCAGCTACAAGCTTTGGATGAAACAAGTTGTCAAGCAGGGAGGGACAGAAGACAGATGAAATAATGAATGAGAGCTGGGCTGTAGGCCAAAGGTCCAGAGGGGTGAGGGGATTCACCAGAGACAGAGTGGGGAGCAGAACAGGTGGACTGACTGAAATACACTGCTGAAAGGAGCAGCAGATAAGACAGGAGAGGTTTGCTGCACCATGTGGATCAGCTGCCTGGCTGGGGATAGCTTCATATTGCTGAGACTTAACCCCTTGTGCCATCCAGGAGGCCCCTACATAAAATAAATCTTAAAAAAAAAATAAAATGAGTAGTTGGAAAGGTGTATTCAGAACAACTACTTAAATCAATGACACAGATTTATATTTTAAAAAATCATGTTCAAATAAATATAACCATAAAAATCAGCATACAAGGAAGAACAACTTCTATTTATTTTTGGCCTAAAACATAATTGAGGATAGACATCAGGAAATCAAATATACATCTTGGCAGAGGTCATCATACTCAATGAGAATGCAAATAACCAGCTTAATTTACACCCACTTTCTATGGAATGTCTCATGTCCCTTCTAAGACTTTAATAAAATGTTCCTGAATCTTAAGATGTCTGAAGTATTTCTGGCCTTAATTTCTCCCTCCTTCCAAGCTTCAACTATGTTCCAGCCTCTCTCCCATAGTGATTCTCTTTCCTATATTCTATGCTGACATAAAATTGAATGCAGTATCTTTATATGACTATTTATCAAAGCCATTATATGAACTATTTGAATATATAAGACATTTGGGATAATGTAGTGGTTATAGCAAGAAAAGCAACAATAGTATGGATACCTCTGTTGTGGAGCTCTTGAGTTACCCTAAAACTTGAAGTTGTTTCCTAGTCTCCTTAAATATAAAAATTAATTCCTTTTGCTTTCAGGCAGGACCTTTTTACTCAATTCCCTCCTCTCACTACACTCGGCTGTGGTCCACATTTAACAAGGACAAAGACTGTACCGTTCGTGATGTCTGTGGTCAGCTTTTCCAAAATTAAAAAAAAAAGCCTAGTGCAATATTTAGAGAAGTTGATCAATAACAGTATTAGCTGAGTAAACAAAGAAACATCTCAGACTGTTAAGTCTGGGAGATAGTTCTCAAGTTCCCTTTTGCACGTAATCTCTACCATTGCACATTGTTACCAGATCAGGAAATAATTACAATACTCATTGTTTGAATGCTTTCACTCCAATTACATGCACCTTCTATCAGGAGATATCTTTAAGCATGGAGATTTCAGTACTGAATCGAAGCACTAAATACAAAGTGCACAGATGGTAAATATTATACCTATCTGTGGAGAATATGATAGTGATTTAAAAGCCCAAGTTTCTGTCAAATCTTAGGTCAAATTGCTAAAGTATTTTTACATCCTTTGAAAGAAAGTTATATGTCTAGAATGCCACTGAAACAGAAAAACTTGAAGCTATCTGTACCGTTATCACTAAATTATACTTTGATACTTTAAAAATGGTCTTGCCATGTTATATTTCTTCTTTTAAAGACTTGTTTATTTATGCATGCAAGAACTGGAGTATAGGCTAGGGGTGTGGGAGGTGAGAGGATTCACCAGAGACAAAGTAGGGAACAGAACAGGCAGATTAACTGAAATACACTGCTGCAGGGAGCAGTGGGCAAGACAGAAGAGGTCTGCTGTGCCATGTGGGTCAGCTCCCTGGCTGGGGATCAAACATGTGCTGCAGTGGCTGGCGATAGCTTGACAGCACTGTCTTTAACCCCTACGCCACCAAGGAGGCCCCATGTTATATTTCTTTCTTTTTTTTTTAAAGGTTTATTTATTTATACAAGCACTGGGTACATTCAGAAGCGCGGGAGGGTGAGAGAATTCACCAGAACCAGAGCGGGGAGCAGAGCAGGCAGAAAGACCAAAGTACACTCCTGAGGGGAGCAGCGGGTGGCAGGAGAGGTCTGCGCGCCATGTGGGACCCTCACCTGGCCGCCAGGGATCAAACTGGCGCTGCAGAGGCTGCGCGCAGCTTCGCAACCCAGCGTTCAACCGCTGTACCACTGGGGAGGCCCATGTTATATTTCTTAACACAGCACAGGATTACAAATAATTTTGGATCTCAAAACCTACATTTGCAAATTTTGGGGAGTTGTCAGATTGCTATGCTGAATAAATGAAAAATCAGAGTATTTGACTGCAAAAAAAAATAAATAAAATTCCTAGGGCCATTCTCAGTAAGAGAGTTAGAATAACAACATGACCAAGGAGTTATTCTTGAGAATTTTCACCAAGAAAGTGGACTTGTGGAGTCTCAGAAGGAGAAAAGCTAAAATCCGTGCAGCAGAGGATAGGCATCTAGGAGAACGAAAGATTGAAGCGCTCTGGTTGCGACATAGAGTCACAAGTCTGGGACAAGTGACAATGATGAAAACAATCAGGCAGGAATCAGAGGGAGGGGGGAAGAAGTTACAACGGAGGCAGGAAGGTAGAGTCAGGATAGGGGAGATAATTTTGAATGAGAATTTAATTACTCTTGCCATGTAAATGTTCACAGTACTTTTTTCTCAAGAAGGAGGAGCCCCTTTGACCTAGGTTCCCTTTGTTTTCATGACATTATGTTGCCAACGTGCCTTCCCTGTCCCATGTCTTTCTGAGCATTCCCTGTGTCAGATAGCATCCTTGGGCTTTAGAAATGAATTTTCAAAAGATGATGTGTTTGAGGAGAGTTTGGAGGAAGAAGATGGAGGGAAAGGTAAGATTCACAGGAAGGATTAACCCATATAATGAAGAACTGAAAAGAAAAAGTAGGAATTTTGACAAGCTGAGCATGGAGGAAGACTTTTATTTAGTTTTGGTCTTTGTTTAGTTTAACTTTTAATTTTTTTTCCAGGAAGTTTAAAGAAAGGTGTTGGAGCATCAGTTGCTGAATGTGAAGAAAGAAGGCTTGAAAGTTCATGGAATTTTCGTAAGTGGTGCCCATGAATTACAGATTTCAGCTATCTTTACACTTTTTAAGAAGTAGCAAAAGTGTTGAGTTGTTTTGAAATGACTATTTGTTGGATTATGTTTCTTGGTTCAAGGAGTGGTATAACCCTATAGATCTTTGGTTCCATCCAAATTTCATTCTGTTGAGGGTTAGCTTTTAGAATATGACACATTGCTCGGTTGGAAAGATATACCTTATTTAGTTGGACTCTGAAATAAACAAAAAACCAAAAACAAAAAAGCATGGTTTTGCATGTGAAAACCATGAGCCTAAATTAAACCAGGACTTAGAGCAGAAAAAGAGGGCTGCTTATCTTTTGACATATCAGGAATAGTTCCTATCCTTTACCCCTTATCTCAATTACTGTGTTCTTAATGACTCAAGGAACACTTAGATTAAGAAATAAGAGAGTGACTTAAACCTGTGTCTTTCTCATGGGACTCAGACTAGACTTTCATTTGGCAGAGATAAAATAGAGTTGAATCAATTACAGTGGTTAATATTGACTAAGGATAAGGTTTTGTATTCTACCAGATGCTGTTTAAATTTGTCTTATTTACCATGTTTGTTCATTTCTGGTGAAGAAATTATGCATATTAAAAAGTACAATCCCCTTTACATATTTGCCCAAAATTTTGTATGCACTATCGAGTTATGACTTTTCTACCAATTATTCTCTAAAATTTATAACCAGGTATGAGAAAGTGAAAATCATAAGACTTAATCTATCCTGAATGATTCAAAAAACACATTTTGATACTGTAACTGGAATTAGAGAAGAAGCTCATAAATAAGCTACCAATATTTGTAGCTCTTGTACCACTGAAGTGCACTGAATTTACATATTTAATTGTCCTATCACCTAAAGAATATCGCCTTTACTATTTTCCCATCTTTCCTTACTTTCGCTTTGCCATCATTTATATGTAAATGTTGCTATGGGATACATCCATAAAATACTATTTTCATGTCATATCTATTTTGACAAATCTTTACTGATTCTCCCTTGTTATCTATAGAATAACTATCTGACAGATGACTTTGGTTTTAAAAATTCTGCAGAACATTGTTCCGTTTTATATACCCTTTTTTATTGTTTCCAATTATAATATTGGCATAAGTCCAGAAAGAAGGCAGATCTGAGTTATCTATTCAAAATAAATTAATCTGTAATCCCAGGGAGGGAATATAATTCCATGTCTCAGTTTTCAATTTCCCTTGTAATCGCCTCCTCTCTATACCCACTTCCCATGCTTTGTCCAGTACTAGGAACTTCTCTTACTTCTGGACCATTGCATATTCTGATCCACTTGCCTATAACATTTTGTCCCAAATGTCCCTTGTTTTACCCATCTTTCAGGTAGTATAACAACTTTTTTTGTCTCTGGGAAGCTTTTAAGAGATACCTGAGCTTGGGGAGGTTCATATGCCACGTGTTGCTATATCATCTCCTCTATCTCATATAGATATTATCGTATATTACTTCATTGTAATTGTTTCTAGTTATCTGTCTACCCAGAGACTATAAAAAGATAGGACCATGTTCTTTTCATTCACTATATTCCAGTGCCTGCTATAGTTTCTGTGTTATAACATATGAATAAACACAGTTTGAAAGTTAAGGCTTATAAAGGGAAATGTTTTGTTGACAGTAAAAAGAAGCAGTACATGGGAAAGTGACAAATGCAAATAAGACTATCACAACGCCTTTTCAAACATTGTGTCTGAGTGGGAAGTGTAGTCATGAACAAGGAGAGGGAGTCAGGACTGGAACACTCCATCCAAACTGCATTCTGTTGAGTATCAGCTTTTGTTTGAAACATGATGTCATCTCGGCAGCATGGTTCTTATGTTCCTTCTTGGTTATTTGCATCCTCGTCAAATAATGACAACAGATTCCATTTTCATTCCTTATTTTGTTTTTCCAGTTTGTGATGTTTATTTTCCTCCATCTATGAGAATCTTAATTTCAAAGTCATTTTCAGTTTTAGTTTATACTGAGAACCTGCTTTGATACAGTTATCAGCCCCTTTCCAACCTTCGGTCGCTGTCCAAGTGCTGATTTTATTGTTGTCATTATTCTCAATTTGATCGTAAGCTCCCCAGGTGCAAGACTGGTGCTTTGTTTACATTTGGGACTTTTCTCAAGTTTTGATTGATATTCAGTGAACAAAGAGCATACTTGACTGACCAGTGTTTCCTGGGAGAAATAATTCCATTTGGTGGGGACAGTAGTTACTTTACAAAGAATGTATAGACAACAAACTAACAATTTCTTTATAAATAATATATTTTTTTGTTAATGACTCAATCTGTTGATATATTCTCTGCCTTATTTCAATAGATGTGAATTAACTAAGAAGGTATGACAAGGTCAAAAGTACCTTGGACTTCAACAAAAAGAGTTGGTTTAGAGTCTGAACTGTGTATGCATTGACCAGTCATGTGAACATTTCTTTGTTCATATATTTATTGATGTAAAACAGGTTTACATTGTATCTGCTTTGGGGGCATATGTGAATGCTCTCAGTTTCTTATTTTCAAAATGAAAGGCTGTATCAAAGGATGCTGATGTCTCCTTCAGCTAGAACAATCATGTAAATGTCTCTGTGCTGTGCCCAGAAAGATCTTCCTGCTTTTTAGCAGCATAAGTAGGCAGTTTTCTTGCAAAAAACTTTACTTATCATGATTTTTTAAAAAATCTAATGATAGTAGAATAGTCCTGTCTAAAATATTAAGAGTATTCATAACAATGAATGCATTTATTATGTCATTGAGATTTAGTAAATCATGGATTTGGGAAACACTGACTGATGTCAAAAATTCTCTATTACTCACAAGAAAAAAACCCACTCAAAATAGTATAAAATTAATTGCCAAAACTCTCATATTATCATGTACCTGCAATTTGAATTGCATTTTACTTTGCTGCTCCAGTGAGTTCTACAAAAACATGCTGTGCTTGAGTAACCCCTGGACACATAGTCACACCTATTTAATGTGGAAAAGTTTGCTAATGCGAAAGTGAGTTGAGGGGAAAGCTTTCAGGAAGACAAGTCACAGTGAAATGCATCCTTGAAGATTAATTACCACTCAGATCTTTTCAGCTTCCAGATATACAATTGCATTAAGCATAAATTAACTACCTCGAGGCTGCATAATGGACACTGGTAGAGGATTTTCACCTTTATGTCTTTGGTTTGAATCTTCCCCCAGCTTAAGATTGACTAAAAGTCATTATCCTTTGTCAACTGTTCGGTGACTTATGAAATGAGTTATTGGTCTTAGTTAAGTTCCTTGCACAGTCAAAAAACACCTTCACAATTGATGATCATCAGAGCTGCTGGAACCAGAGAAAGCAGGTCAGAGATTGAATTGGTCATGGAAATTGAATTTGTGTCTCACTAGCCCACCATCTAAACATGCTTTGAGGCTTAGAGTTTTGCCCTTCTCTTGGAGAGAACAATGTAAGTCTCTAGGGTTGCTGACTGGACATCTTTCATTAACATAACAGGATGGAGACAATTTCTGGCTTTTCTTTCTAGCTAGAGCAGCAAAATTATCTCCAATATCTTTCTTCATGTAAAGAGATATCTGAGGGCTTAGTCATCTCCAGGAAAGGTTTTTGTGGGTCCCCTCACCCAAATCTCACAGAGTACAAAAAAGTATGAATATACCATAACTTTTCTCATTGTAGTCGCTATGGAAGCAATAACATGTCCCTATCAGGTTATCTTTTTTTCTATCTAGAAATAATATGATTTTGGTAGAAAGCATCTTTGATAGAAAGTGTCTTTGTCATCTGAAGGTTTTGGTTGTCTGAGTTTTAATTCTTGCTCTGTATCTGTCTGTCAAATGCTGAACACAATTTGAGATCTGCTATTCTGCCAAGAAAGTAAAGAACTTTAGACTGTGTATTAAATCAAACTCTTTTCTGGTTTTATGGCATTCTAGAATTGGCAAGCTTTCCATTTCCCAAAAGGTTCTGTGTTTGGCTATGGGACTATTGGGAAGTCTGAGGCTTTTCTGCTAGAAAGGGATTCTCATTTTAATTGGTGACTGTGAGATGAGCAGTCACTTCATTTGGAAGTCACTAGTTAAGGAAGATAGGAAGAGTAGGAATTACATTGATAGTGAAGGACAGATATGTAAAGGCTAGAATTTGAGTTTAAATCAGTAAGAGAAGCCTTGGATAATATTCCAGAAGGGTGAGACTGTAATTCAGGAGCACCAAAAGAATCAGAGAAGTAAGAGGACAGGTGTTAAGCTGACAGGTGATTCTGAAACGCCAGAGGCTGAGAGCTAGTGTCTGGGTGTTCTAGAATCATATGATAATGAGGTTCCCTCCTTTGCTCCCCAAGTTTCCCCTCCTTTTTTCTTTTCTCCTGCTCTATGCTCCTTTTTCCTTTTCTTTTTTTCTTTCTTTTTTTTTAAGATTTATGTATTTATTTATATAAACACTGGGTACAGTCAGAAGTGCGAGTGGTTGAGAGAATTCACCAGAGCCAGAGCGGGGAGCAGAGCAGGCAGACTGAGGAAGCGCACTGCTGAGGGGAGCAGCAGGTGGCAGGAGATGTCTGTGTGCCATGTGGGACCCTCTCCAGTGGCCGGGGATCGAACCGGTGCTGCAGAGGCTGCGGGCAGCTTCGCAGCCCAGCGCTCAACTGCTGCATCACTGGGGAGGCCCCTTTTTTCTTTTCTTTCTCTCCCCCTTGTATTTTTTTCCTTGACTTTATTAATCACAATCAATTTGAAAGTTACCCTTATTTGGATGACTTCTACATTAAATTCTTCAGTCCAGTGTCTCCTCTGACTTCTTAATACAAATGAAACAAACAATAAAATTTCTTGTCTTGGCTTTGTCATACACATTTAAAGCGTGTTCAAATAGAATTTAAATCCTTACCTTTATGTTTCCCACATCTGTAAACCATCATAAACTAATGTTAAAAAAAAAACTAAGAATCTAAGTAAGAATC